AAGGGCGCGCGAAAGTCAGGGCGAAAGCTACGCTAAAGAAAATTATATTTTCGTGAAGAAGTCCATTTCGGGGATATGTTAATTTAGATCAACGCCCATGTATGTATGTATGTGTGTGTGTGTATGTGTGGATGTATGTATGAATGTATGTAATTAGCTAGCTATCGGTATCGAAGTAGGTAGGTAGGCAGGCAGGCAGGTAGGTATATGTATTATGCGTGCATGTGTGTGACGTATATCTGCATGCATGCCTACATGGATGTGTGTGTATGTGTGCGCGTCTGTATGCAGGTCATCCAGTTTGAATGTGTGTATGTATTCATGTATGCCAATGTACGAATATATACACGCGCATGCATGTCTTGTGTGTGTTATGTATGTTGCGTATGCCGCACATGCCATCTATGCTGGTCAATGCAGGTAGTGTATGTCGTGTATGTACTGTACGTATTGCATGCAACGTATGTATTGGATGTGCCGCATGTCTATATGGTGCAGACCATGGCATACAGAATGCACTGCGAGCTTGGTGCTCTGTGTGAGAGATTCGATACCCTCTGCACATTCCCAGGAGCTGCACAATCGCAGTTGGACCCAGAGGCCTTTGAATGTCCTGCTGCCCTTATGCCATGCATGTCCAGCAGATTCCAGCAGCAAGATTTCGCGGTTTGCATTTCGTTGGCTGCAGTAGTACAGGGCGTTGGACTGAAAGGTTTCATTACCAGCTGGCTTTTAGCCTTCGCAGCAGTGTCGTTCCGAGTGTCGAGTTGCTGCACGAGAGTATACGAGAGTTGTGATACACAGGGTTCTGGACCGGGCAATAGATTGCCATTCCTCAGAGAAGCAATTCCTGCTGTTTGTCGTATAGTGTAAGAGGTATGGCTTGCCGAACGACCACGGCACGATACTCCAAACCCCAACGTCCTTCCTACACAGTTGATTACAACCGAAAAGGTTGGCTTCCTTCGGTGCTCTTATTGGTCAGAGGTTTGCTTTTGCAGTCGCGGCTTCAATCTTGTGATCTAGCGGATGTATAATCTGGATCCCTGGATTCTGGATCTGAGCATTTGGGCCGCAGGCAGGTCAATGCTCGTAATGTACGCCTGTTGCAGTACATATAAATATCAGAGTGCAAACCAAACCACAGTAGCTCTAATATCCGTAAGCTGATGTTGGCATCAATCTGTGACATTGAAGGGCTGTCGGGGCGCTTCCTGGCGCTGTGTTGGCCTCGTCGCACCCGCGCGGCATTGAGAGTTGGAGTTACTGTTTGTTCCGAGAGCTCAAAGAAATTAAACCGAGCTCATGCTTCAAGAGGAACGGGCTACAAAACGAAGAATCGGCCAAGAGATTCGTGTGCAAGGTGTGAGGGATGCTCTAACAGGATTTAGCCGCCTGAAATAGAACAGCTGCCAGAGTCAGTTGCATGACATGACTCACCCAACGCTAGTGGGTAGGGACAGCTGCCATATCTATCCTCGCCAGAGCCAGTTGCACAACTTCAGCGCCGCCACATTCGTAAAGAAAGGGCATCGTTGGGTGCCAGGGAAGCCGAAGCTACATGAGCTTTTGAACTCCGAGGTTCAATGTGGACGAGTTGCAGATCCGCCAACCACCCACCGGGCCCACCGGGCCCGCCCACGCTTGCATGGTTGGGGCGCGCGGCGTATGATCTGCTAGTCCTTTCCCTGCGCCGGAGGCAGCGGATTCAGCTCCAGCGGACAGATACCCTAAGGACAGAAAGCGTGAGGCTCTTACGCACTCGCACGCCTTGCCCTGTCAGCACGAGTGGCATCTGGCACAGGAGTGCTCATGCACCGAGGATAGGACCATTAGCTTCAAGGCGACCGTGTCCGTCTCGCAGGCTGTCAGCTCAATCGCGTGTCGCTGTTGGGGCCAATGCGCAATTTGATGCCAACTTTCGGATCGCGCTTGCACGGGAGAGGTGCCTCACCTGGGGGAAACGGCTGCACGGCCGCAATGCAGTTGCCGAGAATGCTCATAGTTGACTCCAGGGTCCGCTCAGAAAGGCCTGTGCATTGCACGGTAGAGTCAGCCACGTGCAACAACTAAGGACTTGAAAAGGGACTTGTGGTGGTCACAAGAGGTGCGATGGGGCAGAGATTTGCAGTTGGTCACCTGCCAGGGTCCGAGGGTCAGATTTGATCAGATTTCGTGTGCTCTATTACTTCTTGTGGTGCTGCAGCTGATCGCACGTCGGATCAAGCAGTCTGAGCACCTTTATTAACACAAAGCTCGTGTAGAAATGAAGAAGCTGGCATCGATGGCGTGCCTTGCCTGTGTGGGATTCTCGTTTCTACATATGGCCAGCCAGCTTACTTTTGTGACGTCGAGGAATCGTGCCACAAAGCCGTGGCGGTGCCCTTGTTCTGTTCGACGCCTCGCCATAGCAGCTAAGAAAAGGCATCCAGCCAATGCTGAAGGCACCTTCTATGTGGACCACACTTGCATCGACTGTGACACTTGTCGATGGATGGCTCCCGAAACATTTGGAAGAACAGCACAGGCCTCTGGAGGCCAAAGCTACGTTCACCAGCAGCCCGAAAAACCAGAGGACATGGATGCCGCACTCCAGGCGATGATCTCGTGTCCCACTGGTAGCATTCGCACGAATGAGCCTCTTTCCAAGACCAAGGAGATTCTCGACACTTTCCCCATCCTTGTACACGAGCAATTGCCTCGGGTGTTTCATCTCGGTTATCACAGTTCCAAAAGCTTTGGTGCGGCTAGCTATTTTTTGGCAGGGGGAACAGGTGACAGTCCCTACAACGTAATGTACGACTCGCCCCGTTACTCCTCTCGGCTGGCAAAAGTCCTTGAAGCCGCTGGTGGCATTCACTTGATGGTACTAAGTCACAAGGACGATGTAGCCGATCATGAACGTTGGAAGGAGCGCTTCCCTGGAATGACCCGTGTAATGCACAAGCAGGATGTGCGTGGGCCCTTATCTTGGCCCTACATTGACATGACTGGAGTAGAAATGCAGTTGGAGGGTGCTGGGCCCTGGACTTTGGCGGAGGGCCTGAAGGTAGTTTTCACGCCAGGCCATAGCGCGGGCTCCATTACTCTCATTGCTGAAGGATCAAGAACTGGTGGGGACGGGGTCGCCTTTACCGGTGACCACCTAGCACTGAGTGGCCGCCTTGGCCGATTGGATGGTTTCGCACGCTACTCCGAAGACACCAAGCTGCAGGCGGATTCCATGTTAAAGCTGAAGAGTGAGGACGTGCTGTGGATCCTCCCCGGACACGGCCGACGGATTCGCTTTGAAGATCCTGCGAGCCGGGAGCAGCAGCTGCAGCGGGCAGCTCAAGAATATCGCGATGACCCACGAGGTCAGATGGCCCCCGGGCCTTTGTACAAAGTCCTACAAACCTGACCACGCACAGCATGGTAAAAAGGTTGGGCAGTCGTGGCCACGGGATAGAGCAATGGTTGCAAGGTGCCTTAGGCTCCACTGGTGCATAGTGGTACCAGAATTGCGAGCAGGACGCGTGTAGTTGCTTGCAGGACTTTTCAGACTTCCTGAAAGTACGCTTGGCCCTTGCAAACGAGTACAAAGTGCCTCGGCTCGGAGAACGAGCTGACAGCAGCCCAAGTTTGTATAGGGACGGTTTTGCAGCCGGGCTGGCTTCGTTGACTGCCATTTATTGGCTGGCCACACCTAGGAGGCTGTCAAACATCAGCGTCTTCGAGCCGCACACTGAGTACCCGAACGGCCAGAGTATGGCACAATCTCGGGAACCGACTTTTTGAATCAGCCAACTTGTAAAACCCTGCACAAAGGCCAGTGGTTCGTGGGACATCCAGGCCAAGAGATGTGAATTCCACTTACCAATGTTAGCTTCGTAGCAGTACCTGGCCGTGCATGACGACCGGCAGGCAAAGGAGTTAATAACTTTTTAACCGAGCTTAAATAGATCCGTTGGCTATGGATTCATTCCCACAGGCTTGCACTGCAGCAATCAGTTTACCATTATGGAGAAAACACCGCGTCACTTTCGCGTGCAAGCAACTTGAGAAGGCACTCAATATTGATAAAATGGTAACCCCCTGGCGGCGCATCAAGTGCAGGCAAACCGTGTTTGAAGTCATGGATTCTGGATTCTCTTCATGATGCTGCCAGTGTCAGATTGCAATTTGTGTTTCTGCGTGGCTGCACCTCACAGTGCACAGCCGCATGCCCTGGCAGGATCCTACATTGCGTCAAGAATCGAGACGAGGACTGGGACTGGGACGTATAAAGCTCCGTGAGCTGCTCAGCCGGGCACAAGCGTGGCCGACAATGCGGTTGTTGATGAGTGTCATTGCAGTCAGCCGAGGTCAGAACAACACGTTGCTGGGCAAGCTATGCGCATGCTCACTTTGCTTTGATTTTGGTTGAGGGCGCTTTTTGCAAGTCCGCACCGTGCGGTGCAGCTGTTGCCAGATTTGAACAGCGTTTGCAGCCCAGGCGAGCCTACCTGGCTTCAGTGGTTAACGAGCAGTCCAGGCAGCCACTTGTACTTGCAGGGTTTCCTAGTCATCCTAGTCCTACAACTTGATGCTGAGATTGCCGCGAAGCAAGTATTTGTCCCAGCGACTGATCAGATGTGAGTGAGGTGCGTTTGGTGTGGACAACTGAAGCCCTGAGAGTGAAAGTTGTGACGACCACGCATACTCGGTACCTTGCCCCAGGCAGAGACGAGAAGCGAACTGGGCTCCCAGCTTCCAACTAGATGATGTGTTTCGGCTGCAAGTGCAATGCTGCGAGGCTCGATTGTTCTGCACTTCACTTGCCAGGTAAAACTTTCGGAAGTGGCCAGAAAGATATCCAAGAGTGATGCACCTTGCTTGCACTGGGCTTGTCGTTTTGCTTGCTCCGTTTATGGTCCGCTGCATTTTTAATTGCAGCATGCAAGATCAGGTGGAATATTCAGTCCAGCGTGCAGAGAGAGATCACGTGGATGTTTGCCTATTTCTCAGATGCCCTGGCAGGGCAGCGCACGGCTTGCGTTGCATGCATCGCCAGTTCGAGAGTCCATTAATCAAGGCAAGGAGATCGAACTGCTGAAGAAGCTGCAGGAGGTTCGGGTGATGGCTAGTTCAATACACCTCCAGTTCTGTTCTTGTTGGAGGAGGTCGAAGATGAGCCCTGCTGCATGGAGCAGATGGAGCAGCCTGAGCAGGACTGAGTTGATGAAGAAACGTAACGTGATGCCCTTGCCTCTGGGATGCCACACAGGAGCCCAACCCGCCAACCTCCGACGATTCCGATCAAGGGAACAAGCCTCGGTGTTTGTGTATTTTCTGAGGTTTTTCTGCAATCAGAGAGAGAAAACAAGGCAAGACTTCTTTAGATGGCCCTCCCGTTGTGCCCTACCTGCCGCCGATGCTCTTCGCAGTTCCACCGAGGTCCCCGGCCAATGGGGGGTTCGGCATGAAGCGCGTTCCGTCCATTGCGTTCTTGCCCCGGCTGCCTTCTCTGGAAGCGCAACACTCCGTTTTAAACTAAATAGTTACTGGGTTTGGGTTGCTCCTTGCAGCCCCTCCCAACCGGATGTCTGTGCGTGGACAGGGTTTTCGTCATTGACACTGGCACATGCTGAGGCTGGTTGACAGAGAGGAGGACTTGGCCCAACCTGGCTTTGGCATTTTGCCCTGCAAGCGCTCGCAAGATGGAGTTCAGGAGCAGGGCGACGAAGACGATGATGGTGTCAGTGTGGCCTCATCCGTGAGACCACCAGACAACACGAAAGGCCTGCAGGACCCATGCCGCGAAGCTGCAAGTTCTCATGCCCATGGCGAGGTTTTGGCATTTCAAGAGAAGTGCTCCACGATCACGGACTTCGTGCAACAGGGCGTAAGGACGACTCAGTGTGCTCCTGGCAGCTTATGTGGTCTTGCTGAGGAGAATCGAGGGCATGAATTGTTGGGTTGCGGGTGCTGTGCATGACATCAACTTTCTTGACCAGCTTGCTCTGGTTGCTGGCTGAACATGAACCGTTGTTAACTGTGTCTCGTGCTTGAGAGTGCATGCATAAAGGACCTGCCGCTGTCTCTTCTGTCTTTGTTCCAGCTCCGGGGACGAACGACGGTGTGTTGTGTGATGTTGGCAGGTGTGAGAGCAGCAACAGGAGAAGTATGTCCCACACCGATTTGGCAAATGCTCTGGGCTCACAGATTTGCTTTCGTTGCACAGAGTTGGGAGCAAGTGCAGGGGCGGGTCAGTTTCGCAGACTTTCTTGTGCGGCGACCCCATGCCAGACTCAGACTCATGCCGTAACACGCCAGGAGAACAAACGTACACGGCATCTGTACTGTACGCCTTAAAAACACCTGTCTTTGCACATCAAGCTGTGCAGACTTTTTTCACTGAGGCCAAGAGTTTGAGGTGAGAGACATACAGGATAGACGTGTTCCTTTCAATAGCCATTTAATGATTTGCAATATTTTGATCTCGGTTTTCCGATGTTTTCCTCGCATGCATGCAACTGTTTACAACGGCGCGTCCTTGCTGTCCTTGCTACGAGCCGAGTGTACAGTCACTGCAGGATTCAGAAGGGGCGCAAGGGAAGAAGAGGCTAGACAGGCTCAGGGCCTCACGACTGGCCATGTTGCCGGATTCGAGCCCGTGTTCCCCTTTGGTTTCGGATCTGCATACAGTGTGGCGAGGATGTGCTGACCTCGTCGTAGTAGTGGCAATGCCGCGGCCAACGCCCGCAGAGCCCAGAGTTGTGGGTGCCGAGACGCCCTCGCGCAAGATGCGGTGCCAAGAGAGGTCGATAACATTGCACTAGTCTTGCACTGCACAGCAAATTCTTTTGTTCCGACGAAGCCTTGGCTGGGAAAAGGCTCCACTGCTCCCAACAGCCTGAAGAGCCTTAAGAGCTTCGCTCAACTTAGAGGCTCGGGTTGGTCGGGAGGTGTGCCTTGACCAGCTAGGCTGCTCGAAGCTAGCTATCAGAAAACCAGAGAGCATCGACCGCTGGCATGCCCCTCAGAAGGGGCCGCAAAGAATTCACAAATCCCAACCTCAGGGAGAGATAGAATGGGCGGCGTAGGGGTCATGCCAAGTCGTCTGAGTGTTCGAGTAATTCAAATTCGGATCTCAGTGCCATAGGCTCAACCCGCAACCTGTGCGGGCGGTGTTCAGACGCTGTGCGTCTCGCAGCGCCAGATTCGGATTGAGTCACGGGTGCGCTGCAGGATGCTCCATCCTCAAGCTCGTATACACAGTGGGCTTCAGATCTCACTTAAGTTTTTATTTGATTGGTTCTTGCGAAGGTGTGCTCACGTGATTCGGTTAGTAGCCAAGGAGGGCACCCTGCCCAAGGCTGACTGCCCCCTAGGCACGGCGCCTGCTCGCCAGATGTGCAAAATACCGGAAGAGAGAATCTCGCGGCGCCCCACAGAGAGCTGCGACCACCTTGGACCTTCGAGGAAGCAGCGAGTCGATGCCAATGTCTTCCTCAGGCTCTCTCACTGGCTTTCTGAAAGGCCAGCACTCGCAGTACGTCACAGTCAGCGGTCAGGATGCATGTGCTTTCTGAATCGCCATTGCAGGAGGATCTGAGTATCTCTGACAGCTGCAGCACTCGTGTAGTGACTGTTTCACCCAAGAACAGACGCACAAGTCCTGGCATACTGCCTGCTGATCGGAATCTCGTCTAGGCGCATTGAAGCACCAAGAACATCAGCTCGTGTTTGATGATGTGTGTTCTCTCCGTCAGTTGCTTTAGAGCTCAAGGAAGCTAGCTGTGCTCTCCGCATACGCGGGGCCGCTAATGGCCCTGGACCCACGTTGCGAGACCGTGTGGACGGGCAACTAGGCGCGACTCTGGGCATCTCTGGCCCTCCCCGCAGTGTGATTGGGATTTGGCAGAGGCACCAACCAGTCCCACGAGTTGCACGGCGAGGACTGCCTGTCTTGGGCTTGACGCGAAGAAATTTGTAGCAGTTGCCCATGTCACCATGGTCAGTTCGAAGACAAGGTGGGTTGAGGAGTAGGATCCCGAAGAATGCAGGCGCATGTTTCTGAGGCGTTCGTCGGAAAGTACTGGCATGGCTTTGTGTGGTTCCAATCACTTGACAAGTTGATAGGCTCGACGCCATAAAGCGCTGGTTTCCTGCGTTCGAGAAGCCCTGCCCAAATCTTGCTAGGAGTCATGCGGAGTTTCCAGCAGCTTCCTGGGGGCGACTCCTTCGATGATGGCATGCAAGCTTGCCAGGTGCCGCAGGCATTGAACCTGCAGTCATCCCCAAGCATGCCGATGACGATCCTGGGTGGCCAGGCTTCCTTCATGTCAAGCCCCGGAGGCTACACATCAGGGCTTGGTCTCCAGCTTCCGCCGAACCCGCAGCCCCAATTCGGCAATTTTGCCCAAGCTTTGCCACTGTCACAAAACATGGGCCCCTCCCAGATGCCACAAAGGCCTGAAGCTCCTGAGAGGGGCTCTCAGTGTGGGGCACCCGGTGCCGGAGTGATGCCGAATATGGGTGTGATGACCCCGGTGTGGAACCCGGACGGCTCCGGGCAGCCCGTGGGTGGCTTGGGAATCATGTCAGGAATGTCGGGCGGGGTCTCTTCTCAGAGCCAATCAGACAACCTGCGACTCTCAGGGCTTCCAGTTAGCCAGATGGCCGAAGGTCAGGTCACGCAAGGCTTCAACAACTCCTCACAGATGCAGCAGATGGCGATTTTGGGTGGCATGCCTGCACAGTCGCAGCCTGGACAGTTGTTAGGGGCCTTCTGTGCCCAGCTTCTGGGTGGGACTTTGCCTGCACCAGCGGGCGAAGGCCCTGTGAGGCCCCAACCCGGCAATCCGCCCGGGAGCTCCTTCCACAAGCTCCCGGACTTCCAGGACCCGGTTCGCCAGCCCTGGATGCAGGACTTGGGCAGGGAGCCCTTGGAGCCACCACGCGAGGAGAGCCAGCCACAGCAGAACCAGCTTCTGCTGCAGCAGCAACAGCTGATCCTACAGCAGCTGGCCCAGCCACCGAGTCAGTCCGGCTGTTTCGGAATGGGCGACCAGCCCCAAGCACAGCCTATGCAAATGCAGCTGCAACAACCCCAGTCTCAGCAGCTTCAAATGCGGCCACTCCCTAACAACACCTTTCAGGGAAACTTGCCGGACAACTTTCAGGAGCTCTCCTTGCCACAGCTCCAACTTCAGGAGAGGCCGCTGGAGGAGAAGAGACTCGGATCTTCGGGGCCGCCGCTGAACTTCCCTCCCAGCATCTGTGGCCTCTCCGCAGAAAGATGTCCCGAGAGCTGAAAAGAGCCTCTTAGTCCCTGCGTTCATGAGGTGGTGGTGGGCGGTCGCCGGAGTTGGGGATATTTCAGCCCGACTCCCGGAAACCTTTCCCTTTCGAGGTCCGTCGGACGAACAGGGTCACTGTGCCTGCAGGCAGTCGCGCGAAGAGAATGTCGCTGGAAATAGTGTGACCAACGGGCTCTTCATGGACGACTTGCACAGCCTCGATGCAGGTGCGAGAGGCGAATTCGGAGCTTCCGCTTGCTTTGCTGCTTGCTTTTTGGAGGCTTCCCCAGGCGGCCCGAGGCCAGGAAGAGCGCTGTCAGCCAAGAGATGCCCTTCTTGAACGTGACTGCTCGCCGCGCTGCCGTGATGTGTGAGAAGCCGCCTGCAGGCTGGCAAAGGCTTCAACTCGGACCATTTGCTGCTTGCCGAGGGTTGATGTGGTAGTGGCAGAATTCTGCTGAGATTCGATAGCTGATGCAATCTTTGAAGTCTGCATTTCTCTGCTCAGGAACGGCAATTTTGATCTTCGCGTCGGCGTGCTGGGTCAAGGGGTGCAGGCCTCGGGATTCTGGACAAAGCCTTTTAACACTCAGGCAGGTGCTCCCCTTTGACATGTCTGACTTTAAGGTTAACCCTGGCCAAATCAGAGAGATCTTCAGGCACGGCTTCAGAGCACTTCTTCGTATGATGAGGTCCATGCAGCCAGCAAAACAGGAACCGCATGGCCGCACGGCCACATCCTTGTAAACATTAAGGTTGCCAGCTATCCCAAGTTTAAACATGCCGGTTTATTTCAAGAGACATCGTGAAGTGTTTGTCTTCGGCATAGTGTCACGATGCAAACTGGCATTCTTGTACGCATTCGCACTGGTTTCGTCAAGAGGCCCTCATTGACTTAACACAAGCGTAGACAATGATGCGCAGTAGCTCTTGACTCGTGGCTGCTTTGCAAGCGATGCTGGCTTCTTGGGAGACGCTCCTTGTTGGTCCACCACACATGTACGAAGTAGGCGATGCAGATAGGATGCGAGCTTGGAGTGCGAGAGAAGTTGGGCTACGGTATTGCCAGGCTTAAGGGCCTGGAGATTCGCTCGATCGACATGCAGAGGCACAGGGCTGTTATAGGCTTTTGAGCACTTTTTGACTTTCAACGCTGTCAGGCTAGGGAAAGGCATGGCCTTAGTGGCCTTGGCAGATCCGTCGAAGGCGCGTCGGGCCGTGGAGACTCGGCCGCACTTTCTCTGCACGGCCTTTTTGGCCCCAGAAAACCCACCCACCCAAAGCGTGAAGAGTCGCAGTCAGCCGTTGTCCGGCCGCCAAGAGCTTAGGAGGAGCTGAACGGTTTCAACATCGACGGCCGCATACTAACCGTGGAGTTCATAGACGAACGCGCGGCTGCGCCTGGCTCAGCCGGGAATTGCTTACAAGCGCTGCCACGGTGAGACCACTCTCAGATCTCCGCAGGTGGCCGGTAAGGGAGAGCCAGGGACCAAGAAGATCCAGGAAGCCACCGTGTACAAGAGCGAGGTTTTTGGTGACAGAGCTGAAGCCGCCCAAGCCCAGGCTGCGCGGCTTTCAGCCAGGCGGACCCCAGAAAGGAGGAGGCAATCATGACTCATGTAGCGACCGTCGAAGCGGCTGCGGCGTCCTAACACCGATGCGCCAGGTAAGCCCGGCCTTGGCAAAGGCTCCAAAGAGAGTTGGGACAAAGGTCGGAGGGTTCTGCCATTGTGCTGGGCCTTGGTGTGCAGTTCCCTTCAGGTGCCGCCTTCGTTGGCACAGGGCCAAGCTCTAGCTCGAAAGGAGCAGAGAGCCACAGCAGAATTTGAAAACCCGAATGACCTGGCCATACTGAGAGCACCTTCGGATCCTGAAGCCTCTGTTGCCGATGCTTAGGAAGGGCGGCGATCCAGGCGGCAACAGGGCTGTGTCAGACGATGCATTCACGAGACAAGCGGTTGCTGAAGAGCTCCATGGTGCAACAGCGATGCTAGCCAGGTGGAAAGAAGGGTCCTGGGTGACTTCGTCTGCAATTCTGCGCTGGTCCGTCATGGAAGTGCTTGGCACGAGGGCCTCTCTCTCGCACATCAGATTTACCAAGCTGTGGTGCACAAGCAACTGAGGAAGGGCAAGGCCAACAATAAAGGACTCTGGAGTTTTTTGCATTGACTGCTCGCCTGCTTGCAAAAATAGCCTTACAGGGCTTGTGCAAGGTGCGAGTAGTACACAACTCCGTGTGATTGCCACTATGCAGGAGAGACAGGTTTCACGACCTCAGGCGTTGGCAAAATGAGATATGGAAACAGTCCAAATAAGCCATCGTCTCAGCAAGCATGCCCGGTTGCATGACTGTGCAGGTACGTAATCCTCAAAGGGGAACGCGGCAAGACAAAGCACCTTTTTGTGTGCGGCACCGTCGTCTTCCTGAGGCTTTTCATCGGGAATCTTTCGACGGAGGTCTCCAGCGACGATTTGATCGAGGTGTCGGGGTCCGCTAAACCGAAATGGATAGGGTCGGAGGATGCGAGGGGCCGGTTACGCGTCATGGATGTATGCGCTGCGGACCTTGGCAGAAGTCGTTTGCTTCGCATAGCTGCATAGCTATCGGGTGGACTTCTAGATTACGTTCATGTCCACAAATTCCAGCAGAGAAGTGCTGAAGGTTCGAGACGTTTGGCTGTGACGTTGACGATGCCGTTTTCTTTTGGTGGCTTTCGTGTTGAGCGATTTTTTGTTTGCAATGCTGGTGCAGCTGCACGCTGGCAGCCAAAATTACGTTCAGGATGCCCATTGGCCAGTTTGAACCGTTGACCGGAGGAAGAGTCTTTGACTATTCAGGTCGGCTGAGAACAGGGTCTCGAGATTCGGATAAATGTATCGGAAGGAACGCTTCGAAGATCGGATCAGGTGCTCTAGACTCTAGCAAAGTCGCATCAACAGCGGGAGCGCGATCATTTCAAAGCTCCTGCAGTAGCGCATGGACTACGCTGACGTGGACACCGATGCGTCGGCTTGTGCGGCTTTATTTAAAGGGCTTGGAACGAAGTCTGCAAGGTTCAGTCAGGCTGAATGGGCCTGTCAGTCTGCACTGCAATCTTTTACGACTGAGAGCCTTCGCCTGGTCTTTCCTAGTCACGAGTGGCAAGCAAACATCAGAATGGTGGCAGTAAGTGCGTCGCTGCCTGTGCCTTTCTGTACAGGCACTGAAGCCGGCTGGTGAGGTGTTGGGAATACGTCTACGCCAAGGCTTTTGAAGCTGAAGCTGTGTCTCACATATGTCTCTTGTGCAGCAGACAGAAATCGAATTACTTGAATGCCAGGCAAGTATTCCAGCATCGCTTTTGCGGAGTTCAAGCACCCAGGATGCGTTGACCTTGCGGCTCGAGCCCGAGAGTCAGCAAGACGTGAGGCCGCCTCACTCGGAGTCTGTGAGGTTCGGACGCTACAGGGCCTCGCAATCAAGGGGCGGCCAGCAAGGCGTGGCGCCTTAGTACGGCCTGCGCCATGTCACAAGCTGTAGCGCCGTACAGTAGTATCAGGATGGAGCACCAGTCCAGCAAGAACGAGCGCATGGGCGATGGAGACGAGCCTGGCCTGGAAGGCGGCCCGAGTAAGGGAGGAAAGGGCGGCGGCCGAGGGAAGGGCCGGGGCGGCGGCGACCGCTCTGGCGACCGCAATCCCGCCGGGAGCCTGGCACGTTCTCCTTCACTTCTCATTCTCGGCTTGAAAAGCGACGATTGAACTGAAAAGGCTCCGCGAGGTATCCTCCAGCCGGGCCCGTCACCTGTCAGCAGAGACACTCACAGAAACCCAGGCTGTTGGAAGTGACGTCCTGTGCGGCCACCATGCGCAGAGGGGTCTTCAAGCTTTGCCGTCCAAGCCTCTACCTCGCCAGCCTTGTCCCAGTATGCCCCAGTTACGAGTGTGATGAAGCGACGGGGGGAGCCTAGAGAGGAAATTGATAATTGATAAAGCTAAAATCACATCGTCATGAATTTAAGGGGTAGGAGACATGTAAATCAGTGCAGGGAAAATCTCCTCATACAGTACAAGTTCCAGGCTGCCTCCGGGTCCAATGGCTGGCAATCTGCCGCCTCGACTTCCTTCGGTGCTGTCCCAAGCCGTGGCTGCCGACACTTGCCTTCTCCTGATGGCTTCAAGTAGGATATCGGTTGTGGCTAGTTCCGCGTTGCCACTGAGGGGATGGTTGCCAAACCAGAAGCTGCACAACCTGGCAGCAACTTGCGCAGCATGTTGATATCTTTCGCTGCAGCCACTGTCGGCATGATGGCGGATATTTCGCAACTCAGGTAAGCCAGCCCCAAAAGTTGGCCTCACGCCGGGCATTCAGCTGTAAGTGCTGCAGGCTGGGGATCAAGCGGTAATTCCGATGGCCGGAGCTAAGACGTGCATGGTGTCGTCCTGACAGGCTGAATCCTCATGAGATCATGAGGCTGCTCCGCAAGCATGGCCAAGTGAAGTGAATTGGGTTGGATTCTCGAGCGTACAGTCCCAGACGTGCTTCAGTGTTCGCTCGTTCTGTATCACATTTCAGATGCAGGCGATGGTGATCCAGGTCATAGTCTCGTAGGGCGCGTGTGCACATCACTTGGCGGAGTGCAAGCTGTGATGGGACGAAAGCAATCTGTCTGCATCGTGGACGCTACGGCCAACAATCAGTTGAGTTGCAGAAATTATGGGCGCCTACAGTTCCGTACTTGTAACTTGTAGCTTTCAACCCATCGCAAGCAGCAGAACGCACGATAAAGTCTCCGGGCCGTGCCCTATAGTGTAAGTTGACACGTGTGTGGAGGGACTTGCTGCTGAAAGCTGCTAGACGATGTACGTAATCTGTTGGATGCCGTCCACACACCGTGTGTACAATACTGGACGCTGTCCAGAGAAGTGAAGTGCTGTGTCTTCCAGCGCTCCCCTGACTCTGTCACTGGATTCATCACCTGGGTCCTCCATAGGCTTGGAGCATCTGGGTGTCAGCATCCAGTTGAGTAGGCCCAGAATGAGGCGATTGAGCAGACATCCGCAGCGAGAGAACGTCCGTAGAAACGGCATTGTCCTTGTGACTAAATCCGGCGACTAATTAGCCTAGAGAGCCTAGACCAAAGGTGCTGCAGACAAGCTCTGCGGGCAGTGGTAGAAAGGCCGTGGCCGTGACTAGAATATTCTTCCTGGCTCATGAAGGCAGCGTTGAATCACATGCTGTCGCCGCTTAGTTACTTTGAAGAGAGGCAGGCAGCCCACACGGATGGTTGCAAGCATCTCTGAAAAGACCGCATGTCGTTGCGTGTGATCTGTTGCCGCTGTTGCCTGGGCGGCAAGCCTCACATATGATATTAGGTGCCGCGGTGGTTGGCATCACTGTGCAAGCGAATTCGGCAGCATCGTTTCACAGGAGAGGCAAACCAGGAACGTTCCCATAGCAGCTGCACGTGACCAGGGTGCCAACGAAGATGTCGTCATTTCACCAGGTGTTGCCGCACGACTCAGCTAGGCTAGGACACCTCCTGGGCCAGGCCTCTAGCGGCCGGAGGCTGTGGACAGAACTAGTCGATACTACAGTACTACAGCATCATCCCCTCGGCTCTGTTGGGCCTCACCTTCTGTATAAACTCTCATTTCGACACATGTCAGCAAGGAGTGGCCAATACTCAGCTTGGGAGACGTGCAGCTACTCCCGATCAACATGCAGTCAGAACCAGAAGCAGCACTGATGATAGATCCGTCGCGTGCAGCTACAGACGGCTGGCGCAGGCCGGCCTTCATTTAGCTGATGACGTTGTACAAGGAATGGCTAGAAAATCGAACGTCACAGCTTCTTTTGTGCGCCAGGTTCGGGTCATATCCTGCCCTAGAATGTCGATGGCTTGTGGCTGTGCATCCGAGATGGTCGGATCGGTTCAAGACACGACTTCTTCAGTAAAGGGCAGGTCAGAAGCATCGGCCATGCTGTCAACAACATCTCGGAACAGTTCCGTTGAAACAACACATGTGTGTAGTGGAGTCTACTCGTCGGCTCACTGACTTGGATGGCCAAGCAGCAGCCCGATGTAGCCACGCAGCACAAGGGGAGCCTGGGGCGATGGACATGGCTCGGCAAAGCGACCTCGAGCCGCTCACGTCGCTCTGCGTACTAGAATGGACGGCACGAGGAATGCGACGAGCATGGCTGAGCGTCGGCTTCTGCGTTTGCCTTGATTGAAGGATGCTGCCTGTTGTCAGTGTGATGCCGCCCTGCCTCCTTTGTCGAACGCGTGCTGCACATGCAAACCAATACCATCTTCGCAAGCCTGTGTTGGACCATGGAGATACGACATGGCGAACCCGTCACCTCACCTAGTTGTCCCAGGTGTCATAAGGGGGTATGGTAGAGTTGAGTAGAGGTGCCTTCACTGTCCGGCTTTTCCCGTGCTCAGGCTGGAAGACATACGGAGCCTTCCCAAGGTGGAACTGCATGCTCACTTGAGCGGCTCGATTACCCAGCAGAAACTGAATCTTTGGCTGCACAAGGCCCGGTTAAACCGTACACCATCCAGAGACGGTGTGCAAGCAAAGCGACAAGTGGCCAGTGCGGAATTGTAGAACAGGCACAGTCAGATCAGTCAGCACATCCTCCCAGAAGCAACATAATGCTGAGTCCACCGCTCGGACAAAACGTCGTGTGGCTGCTTCGGTTGATGGGCAAAACAGGTGCAAGCTTCGAGCTCGAGCTCGTTTGGTTTGAATTTCGGTGGTCCAGTCAGCCGACACCTGCTTGTCGAAAAATGCCCGGTAGTATGCACTGGCAAGTGGGAGAGCAGTTTCTCTCTCAGGATTGAGATGTTGGAGAGGCGCGGTGATGGGGCCGCTTTCACGCCTTTCAACTGTAAGGCTGCCGTGGCCTGAGTTGGCTTCGTCGCCTTGTCAGGCTGATGCAACTAGGTCCAAGGCTTTCACTGAGAGAACCGCGTAACGTTTTCACGGCCCCGGCCCCAGGATCGCTCCAACGCTTTGGCAAAGTGCTTCGACTACTTTGCGAAGGCATGGCCAACTTGGGGCATGCAAGCATACGGACAGGCGGTTGGTGTGTGAAACGCTGGTATATTTCATCTGCGATGCCCAGCTGCAAGGTAGCAAGTGTCATAACCGACCTGGATGCCTTGAAGGACGACCGGCAGCTGGCGGTTTGTGACTTCTGTCTGCCGAGTCAACCTGCGCGTCACACATAGGACCATAGGAGAGGTCGGTAGAGCCCAGAAAGAGCCAAAAGACTGTGTGCGTGCGGAAGCGTGTGCCAATCTGGATGCGGCCTGGCAGGAAAGCACGCTGCATGTGCTGGACCACTTTGCTGCTTCTGGATTGCAGACAAATCTAAAACCCACAGAAAAGTTGCACCCTGTGCTGAGCGCCCCACCGCCGTCAACTGGGCCTGCTACCGGATTAGCTGTGGTGTCTCTTATCTCTCTATCTAGCAGGTCGCCAGTATAGAAAGGACAACACGCACACTCAAGCTCCGTAATTTTAAATGCGGTTTTGGGGGAGCATCTGGCCCGGAATGCACAGGGCCAAGACTGCAGTACAATTAGGGCCAGTATGGTGTCGCCTAAGGGTAGAGGGTCGGGAGCCTACAACAAACCACGTGACCTGTCCCTCCCTTCCTCCCACAGAGCTTATTCCCAGCATCTGAAACCTCACGATTGTAGAGCGAGTCTGTTCTGGGTTTAGTTGCCGTTCCTGTCGTTCCCGAAGCATATATAGGGTTCTTTTAGGACTTCAAGAAACCAGAAATTCAGCCAGCACGGGCCGCAGAAACCTAGGACTGCAGGGTATGAGGCGCCAAAAGATCCAGCTAGAATCAAGCACAAAGCAATTGGAAGACTGAAGGCCGCAACCTCCAAGATTGAACAGCGCCGAGTGCGAGTCCAAAGAGTATTGAATAGGTTTGAAGAAAGTATTAGGGGAGGGGTTACAAGATGGGCATTCAGCCTACAAGTTCCTCGCTTCCACCTCAGCCTACGTAAGGTTCGCTTGAGGGATTCGCGCACGAGGCAGAAAGATGCATCTACCTCGAGCTGCGAACTTCACCCAAGCAGTTCAAGGCACGTTCGTTCGCAGAAGATCTTTTTGCAGTGCTTCTAGCGGCTTCTCTCAGGTCAGCTCTCAAAACGGCTCTGACGGGACCCTCGTTCTAACTCTGGTGGAGAATCCTTGCCACATGCAGTACGTTACGTTGGTTTCAGCAGGTCATTGCCAGATTAACGTCTGGCATGTCATCCTGATTGTCGTTTCAGGTTCTGTTCGACAGACCATCTTCAGCATTTAGTGCAGCGCAAGACTGTCCTACAATGTCGCCGCAAGTGACGGCACAGTAGAGCGTGAGAAGATCGACCAGAAGACCCCAAGGCAGTACGTCGATGCCCCGTTTGTATTCCCCCGCCAGCCTTTTCGTTTGAAAGACCCTAGGGACGCAAAGCTGACCAGCAAGCTGCAGTACCTGGAGACAGTCCGCGATGCTATCCAGGAATTCCATTCCAAGGCCATCCATCCTCTTGTTCAGTTCGAGGCTGCATTGAAGGAAAGGGATCTGCAGTTTCGCCACAAACGGCAAGGCTATGCAGCGGTTTGGGTTCGTCATGGAGGCACGATGCGTTGAGTGTGCGGTACAAGCAGAATTTTTGTCGACCCTATGATATGATGCGGATGGCGATGGTCCCAGGTGAGAATACTTCTCAGTGTCGACCGCGGGAAGGTGACGTCCAAGGAAAGTGCACTCGTGCATCTCCGGCATATAGTGCTCGAAACACTGCTTGGAGAAGATCAATTGCATTTACTCCATGTCGCCTCGTTCTATGTGAATTATCGACATACGGTGGTGGTCTCGACGACGCGGACAAAGCACACGGTTGAATCGGCTTCTCCAAAGATGCAACACAGCCATCATAGCGGCCCTGAGGCGCAAATTGATGATATCCTTGAGATGCAGAAGGCCTACCGACAGCAGCAGCCGAGTTTGCCTTCTGTGGGATATCGGATCATTTTCAACTGCAGGAAGTTTGGGGCTCGTTTGTTACCAGCCGTTGTTGCGTAGGCGCCATTGCATACGTTGTGTCCAGACAGAAGACGGCAAGGCCAGAAAGCACTAGCGGGAAGAGCACGCCACAGGTTCGAGCATCATGGTTTCAAGCACCAAACCTGCTTCGAACACGATCAAGCAAAGGCATTCAGGCATGAGGCTGGTTCAAGCACTCGCATGCACCGATTGAAAGTACCAAGTGCCATGAAACCACTAACCCAGGCGGCACCACCCCCCGTCTCCTAACTCCTGCACATCTATATACGTTTAGTATGGTTTAGGGCTTATGTCTGTCGCACCAGCCATCTCCGTCGCACCTTAGGGTTTTCGGGCCGTCATTTCATGTTGCCCTCCCCTTGCAGGGTCGAGGCTGACTAGGCTCCTTTGGGGGGGGGTGGAAGCGACTCCGGGCGTCGGGTCTATTCGTCCTGTCTCACTAAGTGAGCGGCCCTGCAGCCTACCAGAAGCTATTTGGGGCTATTGGGGGTGTAGCACAAAATAGAACAAGCAGTCCTGTGTCCTACGTGATGGCACGGAGCTGACTTGGTCACATTGTGGAGACCAACAGTCTTGGGACAGACTTGTGCCCACGGCTTGCGAGAACGGCTGCATTGCGGATTGCACGGGCATCCATCCGAGGTCCATCCCGATCTGGTGGTGGGCATCGATGTTTGTGGCAACCCTCATGCAAACACTGTCAAGCCGTACCTGCTACCGGCCTTGCTTGTCCCTCGGCCAGTACACGGAGTGCCGCCCAGTTTTGACGCGTCACTGGGAGGACATGATGATCAACTGTCGTCAGGGCGTTGTCTGTCATCTGCGGCTCTGGCAAGGAGAGAAGCTCTGCCTTCCAGAAGCTCCCGATCACTTTTCACACCGCCGAGATCCCTGATGATGCAACTCTGATGAAAGTGGCCCCAGTCCCACACAGCTGGTGCTCATCCCGAGACTCCATGCAGGAAGAGAGCGAGCTGATCATAGACAGCAGCTCGGCTCCAGAGGGTCCCTTTCGAAGCTTTGTCAGCGTTTGCGCTGGAATGCCGTGCGAGACCATTGGCAGAGGGTGGTTCCGGAAAAGGACAAAGCCAGCATGTGCCCAAAGTTGTGCTCAGTTCTTCCAAGGCATGCTGCAGCTCAACATCAGGCGCAGACTCCGTCGGCAAGACCTCAAGCATGCAGCAGCAACAGCACTTTGTTGTCCGTAGTCGAGAAATTGCTCACCTGCAAGATGCAGGCGGTTGGGCCATGTGACGTATCTTCCGGACAAGTGTCGACGGCGCGTTCTACACGGCATCTTCGAGGATGGCGGTGTGGGAATCGCTGCCTGGACTGGCTATATACGGTTGATCAGCGTTAAAGCTCATGGTGCACAGTGCGTAGATTAGCATGTTGCACGATGTGATGCTTTTTAGCGATCGGACACTGCATGATCATAGCTATCGCTAGGTAGAAAAATGCCCGGATACACGCATACATACATGTCTCGCACACGGGAGTGTCAAGTGAGCAGGGGCGAACACAGCGCATAAGCCATCATAAGCCCCTCAACGCCTGTTGCTGCGACTTTGTGCACGATGGCAAGAAGCCATGCCTGAGTGCAGGTGATAGTCCTGTGAGGTTTTTCCCCAAGAGTACATGTTCATGTTACCTTCCAATGAGGTGTCATGCAAGCACCAGTCAGCCTAGGTCCAAGAATAAACATGTTGCGGGTGTCCAGAGGGGTGTGCCTGAAACCTTTCGTCGTTCATGTCTATGAGTCTATGGCACACTATGGGAAGATCGTGATCACACACTGCTTGGGCCTGCGGTGAGTTGCAGCAGGCAAGCGGAGCTGTGCAGCCAAGGAGATTTGCCCAACCTCCAATATGATCACCAAAGAGATTCCAAGCCTTTTGTCTGCGATGCGGTGAGATGCAGCTGGGGTACATGTAACCCGTTTCTGCAGAGACAGGTGGGCAGAAGCACGGGCCTCACAAAGCTATATCGCTCCGAAGCCTTGTGCAACACACAACCGTTCTGCTATTGTAACCACGGATGAAAACACACATTCGTCATTGATTTGTCTGGGAGTTTATTTCAAGCCATATAGATGCTAGCATGTTGAGTCTTGTTCGGGTTGTTCATCGACACGGGTGTTTCGGGAAGAGTCCAAACCTGGACAAATTTGAGCGCTGCTGGAAAAACAAGAAGAGCTCAACAAAGTTGGAAAAACAGGACAATCTCAGGAGCATTTCGCATCGTAAACAGCAGTACGCCGACGCCCTGGAGTACATGACGATGTCACGCATTTGCAGCGGACCCACAAAAACCGGATGGTTCATGTTTGAATTGAAACGCGTGGAACAGGCAAGTGGACGGGTGGTGCAAACGGATGGTGCAAATCTGTTTTCTAGACTGAGTCTTGAACTCGAACTAAAGCAGTTTTGGAATAATCGAAAAACGTGGCAGGCGTGATATTTCGTGACTTTAACGTCTTGATTTGCGGGTTGTTGTTTCACTGTTTGATAGAGTTTGCTTCGGGCTTGTGTTTTGTTGGCGTGGCTGACTGTTTCGGACGTGTTATGGGCACGCAGGAGTCGCGTTATCTCTCGTGAAGACTCATGAGTTGGAGCATGCGAAGCAGCCAAGCCTCTCGCCACGTGGTCTTTGTTGACCTTCCGGCTGGCTGTCTTGCTTAATCTTCATGGCGTTGCTTTTCTCAGGCGCCTGAAACTTCTAGGCGTAGACCTTCACCATGCCAGACAAACAGCAGAATACCAGCTGTCACAGCCCAGACTCGTGGTGCAGCAGCAAACTTGTGGCAGGGAAAAAGCAGCAGTCACAGGCGCATCGCATGTCCAGCGTTTGTACAAGTGGCTTACCTGGAGGCTTAGACAAGAGGACAGGCTGTAAAGGCTGCATGAGCACGGGCCTTAGTTGGAGTTGGAGATGTGGACAAGAGTACAACGCAACATGCTCTTAAGTCATAAGCAAAACGGCGATCGGAAGCGTATGACAAGTGCTCAATTATTGGGCATCACTGTCACTCTGACAAGTGACAGAATTCCCCTCCCACCCCAACCCCGAAGTCCGAAAACCCCGGAAATAACGAAGCGAAAGGGTCCTGACACCTAGTGCAAACTGCGCGTGAAGAGGTCTGTGGGAGGTAGAAGCAATTGTTAGCCAGAACTGACAGTTCAGAAACAGTTTCGGGCACACCAGACGGATGAGCATGCTTGCGTGTGAGCCACATGCATTTGATCCGGAAACAGCGAATCAGGCCTGGACGACCATCATTTCATGGACTGGTGGCAAAAGTCTGATAAGATCCTGCTCAGTGTGAATACTGACGACGTCGGCCAGCATCTCAGGTTCAGTCGTACCATGTCAGAGGGAACTGGCTTGCCAGGGCCAATTGAAACAACCGAGGTCTCTTCTCCTGCGACCTCTCCTCTGAAATTCATGATCTGGCCACTGAATCTGGCCAGCAGCAGCGTTCGAAGATCAGATCGAGACTTCATCGCCCGTAGAGGACCTGCGCCGTTGCATCCAAGGCATTTCGTCTATCCAGGCAAGACGTGATAAGCATCCAGCGCAAGGCCATCCGGTCAGCAGCATGACCGCAGTAGCACAGCTTGCACCCCCCCCCTTCCAGAAGCACGTGCTTCAGCTGCTTCCGCTGTTCACTCTTTTGTCGTATGTAGTAGTGTCGTCTGCCTTCGGCTGAGCTGTCACTGGTGCCGAACCACGAAAACACAGAGACACCGACAACGAATACACCTGAAGCACAAACGATGTCAACGCTGCAGGACACGGGTCACACTAGATCACGAGGTCATACCTCTCGTTCTTGCACGCCGTGCTCTGATTGCGGCGGGCTTTGCTCTTGTTTCCAGGGACTGGGGGCAACAGTTTGATTTTGCGAGCTTTCCCACTACGCCTTGAAGAAAAATCGTGATCTTAAACCCCACCACTAGTCGTGCCATCACAAGCGGATCCACAGGGAGCGAGCTGCATGCCGAAAGTCGTGGACACAAAGCGCTGAGCTACAACGCCTGGGCTTCAAGCACCATAGCACATGGATGCTTTGACCAGCAACTGACATTCAAACAGAGTGAATGCCGAAATGCAAGTTGGCCTTGCCAGCTCGAAGTAGAACTTTTGACGGAATGTCTCCGAGAGCTTCTCCACTCAAATGTTCGTATTTGGTGTGATTGGGTGTGCATGACTCATGACAGAGATGCACTTAGCGACTTTTTGCCGGCGGGCTTTGTCGTACCACCAGACTTTCGTTGATGTTGGAGCTGCTCTTCTGCAAGCACTTCTTTTAGTGCTGCAGTGACTCTTACGAAGAGCTCGGACCCTCCGTCGTTGTTGGATGTAGCTCGGAAGCTTGCATCAGCCTGTCCATTACAGACCTTTGGTCATTGGTAGTGTAGGAACCCGATTGCCACGTGAGCTGTGAAGCGCTGAGGCATTTCATCCAGATACGGCCAAGCTTTCGGAAATGTTCGACGACATGTCTCTTGCCGTCGCTCCATGTTAGACAGCTGTCCTTCTGTCTGGCAGTTTGGCACAGGGGAGTGAAGCTACTAAGGTTGTCAAGCCCACCAAAGCTACAGCTACTTTCGAACGGAGCACCCTGGCCTGTGATATTGCGCATTTGTAGTCGCGGCATGTCAGAGCACGCGTCTGAAAGTGCTGCAGGCCTGGGTCCGATAGTTGGGTCGATCCCGATGTTGCATATTGATTCGGTCTGGTGCGGTTATGAACCGGGACAGCGCACTTCAGGTTTGCCTGGAGGTCAACGGCCACAAGCGTCAGAAGCTGAACGGACTCGGAGCTTAGTGTGCAGCCGCGAGATTCTCTGCGCGCAGGAACAAGAACTGGACACTACTAACGACACTGTATCGCTCAGAACGCAGCCGTCGCAACACTCCCGATCATATGCATGGAAGGCCGAGCACGGGTTCAAGCGCTAGCATGATCTGATAATCAGCACACCGGCAAAGGCAAAGAATCGCAGATTCCCAGTCCCAGACACGCGTGCCCACCAGCAGAGCATGGCAAAGTGTGTGTGGGTGTAAGCACGCAAGGACTGGGGCTACAATAGGGCATTGACAAATCCATAACCAAGTTCCTTGTCATCGTGCTTCCAATGCGCTGTTGGCAGCGGCCCAAGCTGGATGAGGTTTCCCAACTTTGCGTCTGACAGCATGCGCCATACTTTTCAGGGCATGGTGGCCTGCGAGCAAATACAGCCGCAGCCGCGAACGCGATTATCACAGCATCAGCAACGACACCGAGCCGTTCACGTCTAGAGACGATGACAACTCTTCGGTTGAGTCGGAGGTGTCTTGGCTCAGCTGCGTCTTGAGCGCATTATTCACAACCATCGAGCGAAGTGCGTTGGGGCTATGTTCGTTGATGGCTTTGCAGGGGAAAGATCCACCCATTACAGATGCGCATGTTGGCTTCCAGGCCGCACTTCAAGAGGTGTGGTGTATGCATGTGCTGCGTATCTCCCTCGCTCCTGTGCGATGACCTGTGAAACTGAGTTTTTGACGAAGACATGTATGATTCTGTGACGATGGCAGCTTTCGGCGGGGTTCACTTGCAACTTCCTGGAGGAGACCTCGGGAAATCGTGCATGAAGCAGAGCTCGGTGCGCGACGAAAAGGGATATCTGAACGTGATTCTTAATGCGTGGAAGCTGCAAGGAACAGTGCGGATCCACCCGATGTGGCTGTGTTTGGGCTGCCTCCCGTTGCGACTTGGACTTGGACGTCAAACTGTTTTGCCGGAGCATAGGGCGCTTTCATTCAGTCGCCGGCACACCCGGCTTCTCAACCAAGTCCAACGCGCTTTGGCTCCGTCATCAAGTCAAGAAGATAAGAAATCGAAAGGCCCAAGCCCCAAATCCAAAACGCATAACAGTGCTTCTGACCTACCCCTGCAACGCGTCTCTACTAGGCTAGAGGCGAACAAAAAACCCAGCCGTCTCGTGAAGTTCGCAGACGTCGCAGACTGTTCAGTTCAACTGCGTGAGAACTGCAGCGCCAACAGTGGCCGGACACGAAGAAAGTGTCAGAAGCCCACATTCAAAACAGACAAGGCGTTAGTAGCGGAACTCGGTGCTGGCTAGTGCAGATGTCTGAATGACACTCTTGTGACACGTGGCTTGGGTGCGCCCCTGGTCGTTCCAACATGAGCATGGACATGTTCGCAACCTCAGAATGTCAAATCCTGCGATCCAGGTTCGCTGCGCAACAGGCCAGCTTGCTTTACATGCGCTTGGGCCAGGAACTGGAGAAGCCTGTGCATGGGGAAGGAGACTGGGTTCTTGCGGGTGGCAAGTCCCAGGTGCCAGGAATTGCTGATTGCAGAACAGGTCTAAGTCAACCGGGGTGTCAGTCCATCGCTTGCTCTGTTCTGACTACTCTGCAGCACTTCCTGACAGGAGTGTCAGATGAGCTAAAGCAGATCCTGCCCTTTGCGAAGACGCTGATGGTTTACACGTGACGTGGCTCTTCCGTGCTGTAGCTCTTTCAAGATGCTTTTTGGCGCTTTGGGACCTTCGTCTGAGGTTGGGACTGATGCTCTTTCCGGAACTGTTGGGCGCCTGTCGTTTATTACTCTTCGTTCTGAACCCCACCACTTGGATTGACATCAAGAGCCGCTTGTCCAGTCTGGTAGCGAGCAGCTTCTTTTCCAGCACCTCTGGATGTTCGGTATGCCCAGGATTCCGACCAGAAAAGAGCGCAATGTGGGCTTTTCTATGGAGCACACCAGTCCTTGTGTCATGTGCCGCCACAGCAGAATTGCTCAAGCTGTCCATTGGCTACGTGGTCGCTCATATGCATTTCATCTACAGTGCACCTACAGCGCATCTGCTGATACTTGAAGCTTGGAGCCGGATTCTGGCGTTTACAGTTTGGCAGCGTGCAGTACAGCGAAGACTCGAACGGCAATCGTCGAGTCTGCAGACCATGATTCAGGTTCTGATTGACTCTGTCAGCGTCGTCCTTGTCTGTGACACGGTACAGGACGTCAGACATGCAGGTACGTTCCAGCAATCTGTAAACATACGGCACAGTAATCCACCAAGGTCTTGGCTGGAAGTGTGTCATGCTAAGTGTTTAAGCAGACTGTGCGCTCAGTGTTTCCGAAGCGGCACGATGTGGTGCAGGACACCCTCTTCAACAGCTTGGCCTTGACCTTTCTTGTGGACCTCGACAACAAGATTCTTGCCCGACATATAATAAGCAGCAAGAGGACCCCAAATCAGCTGTACTGACTAGCATGGGTTGTAGTTACTGCATCGTCTTCACCAGTCATGGCTGCAACTACTTGTGTAGTTTGGAAAGACTGGCACATGCCCCGTTCGTTTTCCATACCCATAAGACATGGTAAGACTGGTAGGAGTCGAACCACACCGGTCTTGGTTTCATTCAGGCTCTGGGAAGTGGCCAAGAGCGCAGCATGGAGCAGCATTTAGAGGTGTGTTCTCTGGCGCTCGAAAGGATGGGTTGCGCAGGGATAAGGATTTATGGCTTGATTGGAGACACACCCACTCAGGGCAGCGTGACTTTAAGCTGGGCGAAGGAATGATAATTCCCTACTAAGTTTGCAGGGGGAAACACCTGCTTTTGATTTGAATTGCTGCTCGGCGAGGAGCTGTGAGTCGGAACTACCCTCGGGGTTGGGTTTCTATGCTTCCATACTGGCTGGAGACGGCAGCTTCGCCAAGGTATTTGGAATAGAGTACAAGGAGCAAATGAAGAACTTGCAGATCATCTCTGACAAAGACACAAGACGTGAGGCTCCGCCTACCAAGCACTGCCTGCAATATTGGAGATTCACACCTTTCGATCCTGCATGGAACTGACAGGAAGGCAAAGTCGAGAGGGAGGCAGGGGCTTCGGCCGTGCATTCTGGCCTTTCACCGGCACTGCTTGGCTGATCTGCCGAGGGCTGGGAGGATTGGAAAATCTTCAGACAGTGTTCTTGGCTTCGAAGAGCACAAGGAGGCAGCGCGGTAGAAGCGCTCCTCGTGCCGCTGCCCAAGGCCCAAGGCTTGAGAAAGGAGAAGTCTGACATGCAAAATATGACGCAGCGATGCTGATCGAGGAAATAGTCTGCCAAGGTGCGCTATATTCATGTTTGCGTATGTCCGACAAATGCTGGTCGCAGCCTCGATAGCAACATGCTGCCTCTTCGGTTTTGCATCATCCCATGACATGCATTTGCAAAAGCACGAGGTCATGCTCTACTCTTTGAAAACAGACACGCTTCCGGTAGCAAGATCCTTATCTCGCAACTGAGATTGGATGCTATGGTGCGGAGGCAGTGAGTCCATTGGAGATTCACATCGTTTAACTTTCCTGATGCTGAATCTTCAACAACTCATCAGTCCTTATCCATAGATATAGAATTTTACCGAATGGTCTTGGAGGGGGAAAACATCAGCGAGACAGCGTTTTTCGACCTTCTTGGCAACAGGCCTGGGCGCGGCCGTTATGGCGCCCGACAAGTCCAGAATCAAAAGCTTTGCCTGCGCGTGTCAAGACCGCTTGTTCAGCAGATTCAACATGCGAAAGCCAAGGAGACATGTGCACCATTTGGCATTTAACCGAAGAGGACACCTTTCTCGGCATGATAACTCGCAGAATCTTGCGAGCCTCGTCACCAGTGGAAAGTTTTCTAGCGCTCATTGCTTCTTGGGTTTTCCTGCTTCCCTACTCGAAGCTTTGGCATTCAGAGACCCCGGCCAAGGAGTCATGAGCTTGTCCCTTGGATGCGAAAATGCAAAGAAGTCGGTCAAGCACAGACAGTTGTTCAATGGGTAAACTCATTCTACATTGAGCTTTGAAGCAAGGTATGCTCATCCAAATGGCTTGCTGCATCTTGTCTGACTGCAGACTTCAGTTCTCTGGGTCCTTCAAGGATTCATCGGCTTCCCGCCGAAAGCCTGAAAGCGCAGACGTAAAGGCGTAGGAAGGCAGAGCAGACGAGAGCAGGTCGCCGCGAGGGATTGGAAGAAATGTGCTGAGACCTCTCAGTATGGCTAAGGAACCAGACCTGCAACCCAGAGGTGGGTGGCTACTGCAGCCCACAATTTCGTGCCATTACGGGCAGGGATATGTGGGATCTCGCGATGGAGAGGCCGCTATTTATCGTCCCCTGGACGCGAAGAGTTTACCTGTTTACCGGCTGCCGCTTTTTCAAGCACAGGAGCAGATCTGGAAGTTGCGAGATGTTGCGAGGCTTTACAGGCCCACAGTACTAGTCTACGTCAAATAATCAGCTCCCGAGGGCTCATTTCAGTTACGAAGCATCTTGAATGAGCCGTGCTTGTGCTGAAAGGCCCGTGCTGCATGGCCACATCAGCTGTAGGTGTGTTCGCCCTGTCTCACCTGTGCTTAGGCGGCAAATGTAGCTCCTTGGTGGGCAAATTGTTGCACATGGACTTGGGCACGAAGGATGAACGGGCATGCGGTACAACTTGTTTCGCCCATGCCCTGCTGAAGGCCGGCTTGGTCTGCGTTCTTCTCGTTCCACAAATTTTCCAGCTGCTGCTCTTCTGTGAAACGGATAGAAAGGACAAGCACACCAGGTGCTTTGGGTTCCTCGGCATGGAGATTGCAGGAGTGCATCGACAGGCCTGCAGCTAGCTAGCATGTACACGCGCCATGCTAACTTGAAGCACTGTTGCTGAACATGCAGAACGAGGTTCATACCCACAGATCAAGATCAGGAAGACGAATCCTGCAAGCTCGAGAAGGCATCAGCAAAAGAGCTTGAACAACTGCTTAGTGGCAAAGCCTTACAATCGGAACCATGTGCCAGGATTGCACTTCGCTACAGCAACAAGCTGATGCCTCTCAGAAAGAGATGGCAAGCCTCAAAGCCAAGGCGTGGGGATAGATATCCATCCCACTTCTCGCAACGGGTGAGAAGTCTGCGCGCGCAGAGACAGATTCGAGAGAGGTTCAGGATGCCCCGGTCATGGAAAGCGGGTCGGGCCTGGCCCTGCAGGTTGAAGCTATTCACGATCGGCTGAATCTCGTCTGCGGTACATCAAGGTGCCTGTGCTTGAAAGTATTTCGGGCGTTTCAGCATGGACGGTTTCTTCATGTTTGGCTTCGAGAGGATGTTGCCGCACGTCCTCGCTTCCCAGACGGACCTCTCAGAGGCCAGAGATTTTCACACTTACCCGTGCTCCACAGCATTCCCCAAGTCTCCAGGAAAGTTGACATAAGTCCACTGCTTGCAGATTCGTACCGCTTGCAATGAACTAGCTCCCGATGGATGCTCCAGATAGTGCGGGCCCATATAACTTGCAAGATCCCGAGGCTGGCATGGCCCTCGTGCATAACCCGATGCCAACATGATTCTTTTTTTGACCAGAAATCACAAATGCCCTCAGACTAAAGTTGTCTGATGGGCTTGGTCGATCTGTCAGCCCAAACCAGGCTGTCGTCATCCCCGACCAAATCGGTCGGGGGGTTTCTGGAGTGGGTCGTTTGAGCCCAGGCCAAAAGGCCCAACATACTCAAGTCCTCCAATGGAGGTCACTGTCGCAAGAGGTGTCGTTCCTGCCTAGCTAGCTGCGCTGGAAAAGGCGATTCATCATGCTGCCGGTCCTATTTCTTCTACGAGGCTAACTAGAAGAATTGAAATTAATGTTGGATCATTCTTCGGGGAATCTCGGGGCTTGCGAATGAAGTAAAGAGCGGCATCTTTGATGGGGATCTGAATGGCATATAGTGTATATACATATATATATATATGTTTGTATGTATGTATATATATATATGCATAAATCAAATTCCGGGCCAATTGAGAAAATTGATAGGGAAAGATTCTAGAATGAATTTCATATAAGGCTATTGCTGTTCGACAAGAAATAGTTACAAGAATGAAAATGCTTAATAATTGAAGCAACTAAAGGATCAAATATTTTGAAAATTAATTTTCGTCATTCTTCGTATTATGATGTGCGATGGTCCCAAGACCTAGTTGAGTAGAAAAGAAAATCTCTTTTTCTGCGAGTCGCTGAGTTTTGAGTTGATTATTTTTGCGTGTATTTATTATTTTTGATTGCGCTCACTATAATTTCAAATATTATTTAATTCTCTATCTCGGATTCTATCTATATACGTATATTATATATTTTATTTAAATATATATATATATATAGAGCTAGCGAGTCTACGAGAGAGAGAGAGAGTTAGTTAGATATAAAATATATTCATTTATATTTAGTTGCTTTTCTTTATATGAAATATATTAATTCTCGGATTCGTCGATTTATGCTAATTCAAAAATATCGAATATATTTATTAATTACGATTCGGATATGAGGAGATTGATTTTATAAAATATTGGGTGTTTCTACTGGTTTCGGGTTTGTATAGATTGGTTGTTGGGGTCGTCGGTAAACTTATGGTTGTCTGCTATTAAAGTAAAATACGAAATTTAGAAATTCTTGCGGGATCTTGAGGGATTCTTATTAAATAAGTGCTTATTACGAAGTCTTGAAAAAATCCCAAGGATTTCTATGGACTCCTGAAATCCCGGGCAAAATAAGATTTCGTATTATTTAAAATTCTCCCGTAAATTCAATGATTCGCCCCGCGATTATTTCGATTAATTTTAATTTATATGCGGTCTTTATTTCATTACACCGCTTGGATAATTATTGGAAATCATCGATATTTAATAATATATAGTGGGTGACTGAGTCCGTGTGAGAGAGAGATAGTGGGTGATTAGATTTTGGGCAGATGCTACGCAGGAAATATATAATGAATTTTGATATGCTAAGGTTTAATCAGTATGTTATGATAACTATATCGACGGCGTGGTGTGGCCGCCGGCAATCCATTGGTCTATCCGCCGGGCCGAAGCGCACCCCGGGCCGAAGCGCACCAGCACCGCGAGGACGCCGAGGTCGAAGGCCTGCTTGAGCTTGGTGCCGGGCATGCCCCGGGTCGCCGCCCTAGCCAGTCGCCTGGCCGCCTTTCTCATGGACGCCGAGACCTCATGCTGGAGAACGTGCTCGTGGCGGTAGAGGGCCGCGTCGATATAGAGCTGGGCCGACTTGAAGCCGGCGTCCTTGAGGCACCACGCGAGGATCTAGATCTTCCTGTCGGTCATCGGCCACGGTTCCACGCCGTGCCTCCCCGCCAATTTTAGCCAGAGGCTGATCGGGGAATCCACGGACCGCCGGGTGGTCGAGGCGAGGACCGCCCCCTCCAGGGCGTCGATGGATTGTGCTGGCTGTTCCTCGAGTCCGCCGCCTCGAGGGCTGCCTGGACCGAGGCTCGTTGGGCCGGCCATCGATAAGGAAGGTCGGCCCTTCTAGGCACCAGCGCCGCGCTTTTCTGGCGGGATGGTCCCGGCAGCGCCGGTACAGCCACCGGCCTCCAGGAAGGCTGGCCCCACCGCCGAGCGCGAGGTGACCCCTAGGGCGGCGAAGGCTGTCATGCATGGCCCGCCGCCTGCTGCAGATACTTCGGCCAGGAATGCCGCAAAGATACCCGGCTGAGGTTCCGATAACGGTGCCGCTACCATTGAGCCAACGTGAAAGGGAAGAGGCGCCGGGCTGGTTTTGGGCGAGAAGGCACGCCGAGCACAGAAGTGAAGTCGTTCTTTTTGGCGCCGGGGCGCAGCTCATATCGAGTCGGCCTTCGTCGAGCGCCGTGGAATATATAGAAAAGATTCTGGTCGAGCAAATCTCCGCCGGATATGGGACCATCGGGGAGGCGTCGTCGCCGACCAAGGCCAGCTTCGAAAAAGATCCCGCCGAGGTCTATCCCCCAGTCGTGAGGCGCCTCAGCGCCGCCGACCTGTGCCGCGGAGGCCTTCGCACGCCGGGCACTTGTGGCTTCCCGAAGCGCCGTGTGATCCCTGGGCGCCGAGAGCCTCCGGCCGCAGGCATCTTCCCTCTCCGCCGCAAACGGCGTCGCGGTGGGGCACAGTGCAAGGATACGCACATCACCCGACTATGCGCCGCTCCTCGCGGCTGTGGCGCAGAGTGATCCTGGCACCGACAATGCCTGGAGGCAGTCGCCACAAGAACGGGTAATATCTTGAGGACTTATCGTATCTATCGTATCGTAGCTGCAGGCCGGAACGTGGAAATACACGTTGTGGGCGAGAGCATGTGGCGAGTGTCGGAGTCACGCGCGAGGGCGGAGTGGCGGATGAGGGCGTGTGTCTCGTGGGGAGTGTCGCGAGAGCGGGTCGGATGGAGTGTCGCGAAATGGCCTCGGCTTATGGGTCGTGGAATATTGCATGAATTTGAGGGAAGTACCGTCGGATGATGGGGGAGCACGAATCGAGAAAGAGCGTCATGAAATAGTGCGGGGGCTTATTGGGATCGTCGGCAGTATCGTAGAGTGCGAATATCTTGGAGTGATGGGCGAGGGTATATAAGATGGAGGGAATAGAGATGGTGTTAAATTGGGCGAGGCCGTGTAAGCGTATTTGTCGAATGAGGGGAAGGGAATATCGTGGCGTATAGATTGGTGAGATAATAAGGAAGAATAAGGAATATCGTGGGGCGGGTGAGATCGAGGCAAGTGCTCTGGAATGGAAAGGGAAATATTGCGAAGGGGCGGTCGAGAATAGATCGAAGAGAGAGCATCTGATCTGGAGGGAGGGCATTATGAAGAGGTAGATATATTTGTTGCGAGATGGGGGGCATAAATATTTATATTTTTAGGATGTGGAGCGACCGCGAATATTGGAGAATGGGAAGAAGGAAATGATATAAATATTAGAAAGATTCATATTAGATTAATTCGATTTTTTCTATTATTTCTGAAAAAAAATTATATAAGAACATTTATTTTTGAAAATATCTACTTTCAAGAAATGATGAATAATCATAATATTAATAATAATCTGAGAAAATTAATTCTCTAATAAAATGATGATATATTATTCATATTTAAGATTCTGCATATATTCTTGGTCCCTTCTGATTTAATTGTTGATATATTTGATATTGAAAATTTCTCCTGCGCTAAAATTTCAGAAATTTTGATAAATTGCGAGGGATATGCTCGCGATATTAAGATTTCCGCCAATTTTTTGGTAGGCATATTCATAATAATAAAATTTCTAGGATTTTAGTATTGTGAGCTGGAGTGAAGTGCATTCTGAATCCAAGTATTGATATATATCTTATATATCTCTATATATATATCATTTATCTATCTATCAAGTTTTATTTATTCGCCTCTTATTCTCTATCTATTTATTTTTTTATCTTAATTATATATTTCTTCATCTCTATCTATCTATGAATATTTAATGATATTTTCTGAAGTAATATTTCATTATCTTTCAATCCTTCTATCTATTCTTCTAAGATCCAAGAAATGAAAAGAGATATAAGAAAAAAAATTATTGAGATTCAAAGAAAATTAAAATTCATATATATATATAGATATATATATGGTATCTTCTATGAAATTCTTCTTAGTTATTATTAAAGAATATATAATATCTAAAAAATATTGATTTAATATTTATATCTCTATGAATAGAAATTTCTAT